TTAGCTCCCTGTGGATTCGACCCCGACTCTTCGTTGGGTTTTATTATTGCAAACAACCATGTCATACCTCTTAGAGGCATGCATTTGGAAGTGATCACCTTCGCCTCCGCCTCTCCGTCTCTCAGCTTGAATAGAGCCGAGGTGCGCAAACCTCTAGTCCCAAATATGCAGTTGCTGCCTTTATCTCCTCCAAAGTTAGAGCATTTATTGTTGCTCCAACCGAAATAACCAGAACCTTGTGAGGGAGCGCATCTCTCACTTTTTGGAGCGCACTTATGTCACATATCCTCATCAACTTGAATACATTGTTGTCCTCGTATTCCCTAGCATATCTATCATAATCTCTCGGGCACTATTAGCACATCTCTTTGTAGCTCTAAGATTCGCTTTCAACCTGCCTTTCTCTAATAGCTTCTCCATTGCAAGCAGTACACAAGTCGCCTTTGTTACCAGTTGTAGCGCATATCTAGGGCGATGTAGCAAATGACGGTAGATGAAGGCAGCCTTTTGCTTCTCTGAATGCGCCTCTGAAACTACTGAATGGATCCTAATTCCTTGTATGCAGCAGTTAATGTCTTTACTTTCTTGCGATTTTTCCTCGCATTTTGATTGTGACGGAAGTACTTAAGCTCTAAAGAGTCGTGTTTGCTGGACATCAATCGAATTTGGCTCCATGTGATCTTCATAGTTCCAAAATATTCAACAAACACATAGCGTTATAGCACTAGTCCTTTTTGTTCGGCGTTAGGGGGCCCCACGAGTCGTCGCTAGCATCATCGATTGTTTAGAAAAATCTAACATCTTGGTATCACAAATTATTGTACCACTGCTTATATAAGACAACACCTGAATCAAAAACGGGATTGCATCGCTTGGAAGTGGGTGGAGAAGCCAGGGATTGGACTTGGGGCTGGGTTGTATATTAATTCCACCTTTATCGACCATAAAGGAAATCAGATAAGAAGGGAAGAGTTTTATTTTGCTTTGCCTGCTAAAGGGAAAAGACTTGAGAACATAAATGAATAGACATGATCGAGTATGTATGTCTCATATTTACTTTTTCTTCTTTTAGCGTCTAGGCATTGTTTAAGCTTTTCATACTTGTTAAACCTGCCCATATAGATCATCCCTAAAAAAGAATTCGGAGCCTAAAGAGAAGAGAGTTCAGTATACAAGAAGCTGGCAGAGCTTTAGCCATCTATCTTGACTTCACCATACACTAAATAGTATAGATGAAGTTATGTTTAGATTACAACCTTAATCTCTAATATGTATATGTTTAGGTATGATACACTTAGATAATTTTGATATTTTGTTCCACTTGTGTTTAATTTGGTACATTAGATTGTCTTACAAAACTTTACTTATAAATATATTACAGTTTGGCATATTTTCTAAATAAAAAGAATATATGGCTCATTTGAGCTTTGTATCTCGTAACCTCGTGCATAACTATTCTTCACGATTTCAAGATAAACTTGAATAAAATATAAGATTTTAGACTTGCACAAGTGTTCTAAGCATATCACCTTTTTGTATGGCGCATTGATGTGCATAAATTCGTGTTGCTTTGAAAAATTAGAAAGGGTGATGAAAAATTTATGAGCTATGAGTGCAAAAGGTTACGAGTCAAGTGATTTAAAGGAGTTGAATATGAGCTTCACCTTAATTAACCCTTAATATTTATTCATCTTCGGTAAATCTTTTCTAAGTTACAAGTTACGAGTCTCCCAGTTGCACGCAACTGTTACAACCTTACTAACTATAAGACTTCTCTGGATTATTAGTTTACTACTACTAAATAATAGCTCAAATCGTCCGTAGTAGTCGGTCAATTAAAATACTGACCTAAAATCGACAAAGTCGTATGGAATTAGAAAATAGTTTATTTTTTAAAAAATTTTACGAAAGCAAAAATTATTTTTCCAACCGAGTAGGTCGATTATGCGTACCGAAAAATTATTTTTCAAAAAACTAACTGACCCAATCAGTTTCCTATTTAAAATAAATTAAATATTATATTTAAAAAATCGACCGGCTTAATTAGCTCTGCAGCCAACTTTATTAAAAAATCAACTGAGTCGATCGCTAATTTAAATCTTTTAAAGAAAACCAACCAAGTTGGTCGGTTAATTTCACGTAAAAATACGGTTGAAAAGTATAAATAAGAAAAATAAAAATCTTAGTAAGACTAACAAGTAACAAGCATCAGTAATATAGTGGTACCTTAGATGGTGCATTTTTATAATTGCATAATTTAAGAAAATCAATTGAATCTGTCGGTTTCTTAAAGTACTATTCCATTTCAACCAAATAGTAATTTAAGAAAATCGACTAACTCGATCGGTTGGTCTCTCACACTTTTTAAATTTATTTTCTCATCAATTAACCGATTGCATTAGTCGATTTTTCTCGATCGAGTGGGTCAATTTTTGTTATTGATCATCTTTTTTCCAACTCATCCATTTCGATCGATTTTTAGTCGGTAATCCTTTAAAACTAATCGCATTCCGTCAATTTTTTCGATCAAAAAGGATCACGTATTTAGTAGTGTCATTGTATCCTATTACCATCCCGATTCTTAATAGATATAAACTTGAACATTTTACAGTAATTCATTCTAAGTCTCAGGAGCAAGCAACTTATCGATGACTATTGGAAGTGTCACTATCGCGTTTAGTTCATGTAGTGAAATCTAATTATAGTAATCTAGTTAGATACACTCTCTCTAGGGGATCTTAGTAGCTCAATTGGTCAACTAGCTAGCTGAATTTTTACTTTGTTGGTGAGGGTTTGATTTTCACTTTTTAATCCCCTCCTCATTTCTCCTTCCCTACCTCGTATCATAATTATTATTATTTTAAAAATACACTCTTTTATATTTAGTAATTTTTTAATCCGAATATTCATATTTGCCTTTATAATACTGTCATGACATGTTTCAGACTATAGAATTAGCAGGTATTTTTTATATGTATGTACATTTTTAATTTAAGATTACAAGATTCTTATCTATATTCTTAACTTTGTGTTTAATCAAACTTAGACACATAAAATAAAATGGAGAGAGAGTAAGATCATCGGGTTATGTAATGCATGAATTATTCAGATCCCAAAATTGTATTTTTGCAAATGATATTTATTCGAGTTATTCTAGAAAGAATGTTACTATGATAAGTATTTAAAATATCGAATTTCATCAATAGAACTTGCCCTAAATTTATCTCAAGATATGATTAAGTCAATTAAGAGCGAGCTGGTCAGCACCTAAATTGTGTATATTGATGGATCCATACGCACATATTAGTAGTTTCATCTTTTTGCTTTCCAAAACCGATTTTCACACGGATTATGTCATCATAAATTATTATTTATAACTTATTAACAAATGTAAGTAGTATTTTACTTCTTAACTATAGGTGAATGGTGGAAGTTGCGTGGTGGAAACCCCAATAGATCTTGGATATACCTATTAAAAGAACTTTATTTTCCTCAGTTTTTCTAAAATCTATACTATGAATTTCCAATATATATTTTTTGTTATTCACGCTTGTATCAAGTCAATTTATTGCTTTATCTTTGAAATGAGTACTACAGGTATTGAATTTATATCATAAAAAAAATTCAGTGTTGTCTCAGTGTTAGAAGAATCCAAATTGCTGTTATTTCACTTTTTCTCGTGCTAATTTTTTAACTGCAAATATTAATTACTTTGGCTTGATTTATCTTTTTTGCAGCATGTGTTTTAAGAATGATGGCCACGCAACATGTGTTTTAAAAGCGTACTAGTACTTTTTCTTGGCAAGTCTTTTTTGGCCTTAAAATACATGAAGGCATACATAACTTTTGTTTTTATATTGGCATGATATTTCGAAATGGAGATGAGGTTCAAAAAATCATCTTTTTCAAATAAAAATTGTGTTCCACTAATAAAACTACTGAAATGCAATTTGAACACAATTTCAATTTCAAATAGTACTTTTTTTCAATAGAAATTCAATGAACTGTTACACATGACATGAATTACTTACTTTATAAAGGTATTTTTATATTTCAGTAGTTAATATCCAAAAAAAAAAAACAAACAAACAATGCATATATTCCCGCATAACTCAACATGAGTAGTATTTCATACCACCGACCAAATGTTGCATTGGTTATGCAATAATTATTTTTGTCTTATGCGGCCAATTACACACTGTTATCTTTATGCGAATTTTATGCTAAGATTAATTACTCCAAGAGCACAGCCAAAGTTGTAGCCAAAGGTAGGATTGTGATGTTAAAGGGGAAGGAGAGAAGCTAACAACAAGGTAATATTATGGAATAATGCGCGTTTACGTGTTTCTAAAACTAAATTCAAAGGTTGAAACCAATTAAAAAAATAAATAAAGAATTTGAGAATATTGATAAACAAAGAGCAAAATGAAGTGAATTGTACATAGGGGTGGGCATTCGGACAGTTCAGATTAGATATGAAAATTTCGGTTTGAATTTTCGATTTTCGGATTGAAGAAATGACAATCCAAATCCAATCCAAATAAGCCCGAATTGGATAGGATTTTTAAAGTTCGTTTTCAGATTAATCGATTTGGATATTTTGGATTTTCGGGTTTGAACTTATAAGTTGAGATATTTCTTCTTTTTACAAAAATGAATATCCAAATGGCTACTCATATTAAATTGCCTGAAAAGTTCATCATCCTCACCGCAATTATCCAAATAAACTATTCAAGTAATGAAATTATTATCAAGAAAATGCAACAAGATACATTAATGCGGCCAATAAGAAGTAGCAATAGTAAAACTATGTCCAAGTAGGAAGTATTCTGAGAGTAACTTAGTAATTAACATTGAATATATGAGATAATATCTAATGTGTAGAGTATTAAAATTATTATTGTTGGCATATAGGTAATGAACTAAATATAAAGTATAAAAATTTCGGATTCTCAGATATCTAAAAATCCGAAGTACCAAATCCAATATCCAATCTGAAATCCAAAAAAATTAAAAATTAAATTCAAAATCTAATCCGTAATCCCAAAATTCAAAAAATTCGGAATTCGGTTTGGATTTCGGGTTTGCCTAAACTATGCCCATCCCTAATTGTGCACTTCTCCCTTTCTTTTACTGGAGAGATTAGATGCGTTCATTGAATAATAAATATATATTCCGCCTTTCCATTTTACTATCACATATTGGCAGAGTAATAAACAGAGATCCCAACGTTTACATCAATAATTTAAAAAATACTTGAAATTGTAAGCCAAGAAGAATTTGAAACTATATAGCATCACCAGTTTAGCCCCCGGAGGCAACTTTGCTTCAAGCTGCTTGCTCCGCTTTTCGATTAATGTCACTCTCTTAATCTTGATGCCGTGACTGTCATTTGTAGGCTGTAGGATGATCTTCTTAAGAGAGCCTCGTCCAATTTCTAGCAAATGCAACGCAAGCTTATAATCAGTTCTACGCCCTGTAAAACCGATTAACTTCACCACCTTTAGACGTTTGTGAACAAAACCGGCAGTAGCCTCTCGAGCTGCACGTTCCAAGATACGCACACCAATACCGACATACTGCAATAACAACAACCAAAAAGACCTCCAATCCGGAGCAAATACACTGGTTATTATCTCCAATATGAAAAAGCTTCTGTGGAAGTGGAAGTGGAAGTCATAGGTAACATTACCTGCTTATGTAAGGCTGGAATGTATATTATCTGCCGCAACAGAAAAATAAAACCAAAACAAAAAGAAGAAACAAACGAGTATGAGTACTACCGATAGGGGCAGAGAAGAGAACGCAGGAAACGACCATCTCAAAATAGTAAGGCAAGTCTAAGACCAGCAACATTTAACTGAGTGAATCCATAAAGTCCAGAGGGCAGGGCATGTAGATGTAGAATATAAATGATATGATGAGAGTAAAGATGAGATACTTACCCGGGCTCTGAATCTAGACAGCAGAGAAGCTGCCTTGATAAAAAAAGTGAAGAAGAGCAGGCTTTCACCAGCTTCTAATGTAAGGTCCAATTCCAACTCCCTTAGATTGTTCGGTCTAGGGAAATTATCAGGGTAATGTAATGTGAGCCAACTTTCCCTCATAGCCTGGACCAAGAAATTTATAAGACGCGAGTCAATATCAAAAAAGCAAAATGCAACTTAAAAGGAAATTAAGGGGGGAAAAATGTGCTGTCAGAGTGGCATTACAATCTCACGAGGCACCTTTAGTTTAAGCTTCCTCAGCTTACAGGAATAGCTTTCATGCTTGTCAGCATTAAAAATAAAAGAATAACAATACTGACTTCCAGTTGTTAGCTCAGATAACTGCGGAAAATTTTGAAAAGGCAGAAGTATATCAGGTCCTATGTATTTAAAAGACATTAGATTTGGAGCATCAATCTCTAGACCCTTGACATTGCGACACCATAATATTTCCATGGACTTCAAACTTGTAAGCGGGCCAGTAACTTCCAAATTCTGTAAAGATTTACAACCTGAAACACAGACTTGCTCGAGACATGGACAATTGGAAAGAAAAATTTGAAGGATCTCCTCCTTGACATTGACACCGAACAGGCTAAGTGATTTCAGATTACAACAAAATCTGGAAAATTTGATCTTGCAAATATCCCCAGACAACAATTTCCCAATGTCAGGAAAAAAATAAGTGGCAAAATGATATCCCCAGCCAGCTCGTAAGTTCAATTCAAATAATTTAACTTCCTTTTGAATTGCAAATTCAATCCAGCGATCAATTTCAGTTGTGGAACAACCACCAAAAAAGTTAAAACCAACTCGGAATTGATCTAAAGTTGGACCCTGGTGCAATTTAAAAAACTTGATTTACCAACTTCATAATTTCGAGTGCTGCCTCCGGCCTTTTATCCACATCATAAAACTCAAGACAACCAGATGTATATTGCCATAAATATCTCCATCTACTAAGGGAGGTTGTTGCTGCTTTCTTTAGGGATAATTATGAAAGAATGGCCACAAGCAACTCATCCGACAATTCGTCAATCTTACACTCCACCGGATCCTACACACATAAAAAGGCAACAATATTTTCAATAAAATTGTGCCCAAGAAAAAGGAAAAAAGCTAGGAGGAAACCAGAATTACCTGTCGAAGTTGAGCACGAGCAGTACGATGTTTTCCATAAACCATTCTTCTTCTGTTGTCATATCCACTAAACAGAGTTATGGAGATCAAAGACTGCAGAAACAAACACACAGTATTCAAAAGAAAGTAGGTAATTTGATATTTAACAATCAAACTTATTCAGCAGAAAGCTTCAAATATCCATATCAAAGGTGATAACACCCTCTTGACCAAAAAGCCTGGCCAGAAGATACGGAAAGGTTTTCTTCTTTCAGAATTTAAAATTAACCTCTCCCACGGCCCACCCCACAGAACAAAGACAGGCAAAGGTGGAGGGGACTAAACTTTGCCAAATTCATTATGGATATAGCAAAATATCATTAAACAAGACTCGATATTAAGCCCGCCCCGCTTATCAATTTTCATGTTTTCAACCCTCCCCGCCCTGCTTAAGTTTTTTTTTTTTTTTCCTTTTTTTCACTTTGTTATTCATGTAGTCAAATTTTTTAAAAGTATTAAGAATCACTATTTTTACAGTTACAATAATTTAAATGTAGTTAAAAGATGATGTATCAACTAACAATTTCATGGATGAGTTACAGATAGTGGTGTGCAAATAAAGGATGCAAAACTATATTTTAGTGAATTGTTCAGGAGATAGTATTTCGTCCCAAGACCTTCCAAAAGCCTGAGATGAAAAAAGATGACAAGTTTACCGACTTGGCAATAAAGTCGTTCAATTGTCAAACATAGACTCAAAAATAGAGATATATATGACACGATCAATCCAAGGACATTTGGCAACAGAAAATACATTACTCATACTGGTCATATGCAAAGATCAATCCTAGGACATAATAGCATATATAACACTCTGATGGTGTTGATAGGTAAAACATTAGATTATAATGTATCTAATGAAGAGACAGACATCAGAGTGTAATTAGAACGTGAAAACAAAATGCACCTAAAAAAGAGACCGAAAAGAAAAAGGAGGAAAGGAGAAGGCAGCTATGAAGCAATCGTGCGCGAAGGAGAAAAGCACCCTTTCGGGCTTCCTTCTGAATGGCAGTCATAAGCCTGTTTGGATTGGCTTAAAAAGTGGCTTTTCAACCGAAATAGCTTTTAAGCCCTTTTGGCTTGTTTTAAGCAGTATTTAACTTATTTTAAGCATTTTTAAACTTCGCCAAACACTAAAAAAAAGTAAAAAAAGCTTAAAAGCTGATTTCACCTGCTTAAAAGTCAATCCAAGCACCTTCATAGTTTAATTGTAGAGCTTAGGAGCAAGGAGGGAGGAGAAGCTATACCGCCCCCCATAATTTGGAAAAACGACTGGAGTTTCAACACCCAGACGCTCGCCCCGCAAGGCCTTAGACCCGCCCCGAAAGGATCATTAAACAAGAACTGATAATCAAATTCTCGTAATTAATTAAAAGGATTTTATCTAAAAAGTGGATGTGAGCATTCTAAACATGAAAAGGGAATTGAACAAACTGCAAACAAAAGAGAAAATTAAACATCTGATGCACACAACAAAAATTAATAAAGTAGAGATCTTTTTTCTGTTCTGAATAAAGTAGAGAGCAGATTGAAAAGCATATATTTCATAATAACTGTTAGCAACACTTAGGCAGAGAGATCTATAGCGAGAGGGAAAGAGAGAACTTACAGCTCGATGAGGCCAAAGGTAATATTGTTTTAGGGTTAAAAGTTGGTGCTTTAGAATTTAGACACAGCTGACAGGAGGGACGACAATTTATCGACTTTTCCCCAACAATTTGAACTCATATAGAAGATTGTTTTATATCGTTTGCTAAATAGTTTATAAATGTCCCGTCCATCTATCCGTCCAAAAAAATATACGACGTTAGTTCTATTAACAAAAATACTTTCACGACTAACGACATAATTGGTGCATCTTTCATTTAATGACGTGGCAATTTTTAACTGGGCCACGTGACAATCTTTAACCAAGAATCAAATATGGGTCTTATTTTTACCCATTTATCTAGTCCGACCTATTTACCTATTTTTCTGTGTTGGGCTTAGCAAAATTAAAGTTCATCAGTGTTTTAAAGAGGAAATCATATCTATAGCTTTTCACTATTTGTTCCAAAAAGTTCAATTCCTTGTTCTCCATTCAATTTTGGTTCTAAATTTTGTGATTTATTCATTATCTAAGTTTGAACTACTGATTTGGAGCTTCAATTCGAAGAAGTTTGAATGAATTTTAGGCCACAATTGAAACCCGTCTGTGCCGAATTCAACGAAGAAGCTAAGTTTCATTTGAAATCAGAAAATTAGGGCTTCAAATTCGATTGGATGTTCATGATTCTAGTTGGAAACATCATTTTGAAGCCGAGTCTGACGGAGTAAGATCGATTTGAGTGATTTTCTAGGGTTTTGAGTTGAAATTTTTTGAATGGGTTCTCGTGAAAAAGACGAATTAGGTTCCTTCGATTCTGCGGGCGATTGTTCAAATTGGTTTCTGGGGTTTGTTCGGATTGTTGAGACGAGCTTGTGGTTACATTTTGAGTTTGGATTGAAGCTGGGTTTAAGCTTCTGGTCTGACCAAGAATCAAGAAGCCATTTTTGTCAATACTGCTATTTTTTATGCTTATGTTATCTCTGTCTATGTGATTTTGACTCAAATGGTGGGAGACAACATGGATAATGGTTGAAGATGGAGGGTCTAACATTTCTGATATCTTCTTTGATTTTTTAGACATATATTTCTTTGTTCATCCAAGAGACAAAAGGATAAAGTTTCACAATTTCTGGGAGATTGTTACAGGCAAAATTTGCAAAAAAAAAATGTTCTCTATGTGTTTGTGAATTGAAAAAGTAAATAAAAACAACTCAATTTTCTAGGAGATTATTTACACGCATATTTGCAAAGAGTATTATATTCTCCGTGTGTGTATGTATCTTCGCCCTTCACTTGTACTAGAGATGTATGTAATACGTTTCAATTTCCATTTACAGCAAGATTAACTCTATCACCGTATGTGCATTGTCACACCTCCTTTTTACCTACACCCCGGAAGGAAGGATATAAGGGAGTTTTTTCCAATTTAAGTGACAATCGAAGCGGGATTTATTTATATTAAGAAATTCAGATTCGCCACTTGGGAGATTTATGGTGTCCCAAATCACCGGTTCGAATCCCGAATCGAGGAAAAATATTGACTCTGTTTAACAGTCCGCGAACCAGAAATCCGGGTAAGGAATTCTGTTAACCCGGGAGAAGGTGTTAGGCATTCCCGAGTTCCGTGGTTCTAGCACGGTCGCTCAATTTTTATATTCAGCTTAATTATCTGACTTAAAGCATTTTGAACCTATGTGCAATCTTAACTTTAAATTGCTTTCATTTGAAAAAATTCAACGTCACATAAAACACGTTTTGAATCGCGTCACATAAATGCACCTGCAGTCCGCAACACATTTTATATAACATTGTTAGGATTTGGATTTGGGTCACATAAATACGCACTCGAGTTTAGGAAGGTAATTTATTAAAATAACGCGCCTAAAGCAACTTCGCGTTTGCAACTTTGCGAGGGCCATGAAAATTCGCTAAATGGTGCCCCTCGATTTCTAAAGAATTAAGATTGATCAAGTGATGTCCATAGGTGAATGGCACCTATGTGTGAATGGCACACCTCAAAACTATTCAACTAAAAGAATTAAGAATATACGTATTTAAAACTAATTTTAAATTAGGTACCACAACTATGCCACGGAAACCGTACCTCTAGCTATGATAATTATTAATTAACGCTCCTAAAAGTTTGCCTACCCATTTTCAATCCCGAGTACCTTCTTTGTGAGAGTCTCAGTAACGTCTTTCATTGTAACTTTATCAAGTAGTGGTTTTCCAATTTGTCTAAAGCCATGCATTTCACATAATCGTTTCCCACTTTAAACAATATGTTCCTGAAGAAGCAACTTGGATAATTCTAGTGCTATGAATTGGTCTTTGTTTGGAGGCTAAGAATAGAAAACCAGAATCTGCAACACTACAAGCCATAGCTAATTATAGAGCAAATTTATCATTCAAGAATTCACAAAATTTGAAAAAAAAAATCACTTAGCTAATATGACTCTTGAGTCCCTCGTTCACAACCCTTACCAAAATACCCAATAACGTATTTGGTTCTTTGAAGAGAAAGGGCGAAGGGTAGAGAAAAGACCAAGAAATTTATTTGTGTTGCAGCAGTAGCCTCCTTTTAATTTAGCATGCTAGCACTGGAAATCAAACTCAACTGCTAATTTAATAAAGGCAATAACTAGATTGATCCCTCCATATCAATAAACATACACAACATATTCAATCAAAGTAAGCAAAGACAAAACCAATCCCATTTAATCACAATTGTTTCCCTCGAGCTTCTATCATTTCCATTTGACTTATGCCTCCATATGTATTCACAGAACAAGAATTCACAAATTGCTTATACTTAAAAACTCAATCAAAATTCAGCTCAAACATATCTAAAGGGAGAATCATATTGCCATGATAATTCAAACTTGCACAATTAACACAAAATGCAACCCATTTTATCATTTAATCTAGCTACTCGAACTTCTAATAGAGATAGCTATCTAGAATTTTCAAATAGACTATATTCATAGATCTTAAATTTAACGGACACTTCTAACAACAACAGAGCTTAAGAATTAAATAGATGAAAATCAGTAAATACTACATGATAATCTATTACAGTTTCAATGTAAAATTCATGATTCAAAGAACAACTATACTCTAAGCATATCGAAATAGAAATCGACAAGACAAACTGAAAGAAACTAAAAGAAAGAAACATTTGATGAAAGAGAACATAATCTCCATTTTTTCTCAATAAAGAAATACTTCGTGAATCAATCTTTACATGCTTAAAGTCAATGATATGTAGGGATGATAGCAAAGAAACACGAAAGAAAATGGAAGATCAGCAGTCAGTAGAAGCAGGAAAACAACCTAGATTTTATCCGAGAAAACAATGAATAGCCCCGGATATATCAATGTATCAGTTAACGGATAGAAAACTTGAACAAACACTTTCCGAAACCAATTCAAATCGTTTTTCAACAGTACAGAAAATCAGAAACTATCTAGGAATAGAAAGTTTCAAAATTCAATGCAGAACATCAATGGAACAGTAGTTTTCTCCTTTTCTTTTTCAGAGTATTGAGCTCTTCACTCTCTATTCTTCTCTCTCTAAACTCCCTCCTATCCTAGCTTCTTATATATCAGTGAGTATCCTCCTTTTAAGGTGTATTCTTGTTACAACCCATATCCACATGTGTTAGTTCATGCCATATATTAGTTAACATAAATCCAAGAAGGAATTATCTTTGAGATGATAAGAAGTCAATCCTATTGGTCTTAAGTGATACAAGAGTGTATAAGGGTGATTAACCAGTATTAGAAGTTAAACGAATCAAGGATGTTGTAACTCGTATTTTCAGGTAATCTAGCGGTGCTTAATACACTCAAGAGGTCATTTATTAAGGTATTTTAATCATATAATATCCGTATCATAAGTCTTGAAGTCAAACGAGTTATGAAACAAAAGTCGACAAAAGTTGTCGCAACTTAGGTTCATAATTTTACTTAAACATTAGGTCAAATGTTTCTAATCTTTTCTCATAATTTACAAGGAATTACGGGGTGATCTACCAACCAAATTAAAGATCTATGAGTCTAGTTTCCAACGCATTAAACCGTTCATCGATCTCTTGTTCTTCTTGTTGTTGCTCATTTTTTTGTCGTTCCAACTCGTGTGGGAGGTTGTTTTAAAGGGTATATGTTCTGTAAATACTCTCTAATGTTCTTAATATTAATCCTAGGTGATTTCAAGCCTTCTAAAGTGATTCTAGTGCCGAAA